AGATATACATTTCCAGGACATGCCCCCAGTGACGCATGTTTTTGACCAAACCCTGCCTTTAAATAGCAAGCCATCTATACTGCCTTACCACCCAATCAGCTTCCAAACCATGAGACTCGAAAAGGGACACTTTAAATCTAAACCCTAACAACTCATATCTCCACAACACTATACACATAATTACAAACCAAACACCCTTTGATTCATTGTCCAGTCATCCATGGAAACTAGGAAATCCTTCCATTTTCTTTTAAGCTTATACTCTTCATCTGTTCTTTCTGAGCAAATATTATCTGCCATTTCTTGAGAAAGCTATTAAATACTAGCCAAATTTGGGCTTTTTGAAATATTTTTTTCTAAATATCACAGCCATGTAAAGTATGTAGAGAGCATATTCATTTTGAAGATGAAGAAATTAGGATATAGAGAGATTTAGTAACCTCCCCAATATCACACTGCAAAAACATACCACAAGTGATGTCTTATTTGGTTTAGGTTACTATAACAAAATACCAAGAACTGGCTACCTTGTATGCTACAAGTTTATTTCTCCAGTTCCTGAGGCTGGGAAATCCATGATCAAGTTGCCAGAGATTTAATGTTTGCTCCTTTTATTTCCTAATTCATAGATGACATCTTTCTGTACCCTTACCTGGTAGAAGCGATAAACAATATTCTTATAAAGACACTAATCCAAAGTAAGCAAAACCCTCAAAATCAAATCAGTGCTCAAAGGTTCTGCTTCCTAATGTTACCACCTTGGAAGTTAAAGTTTGAACTGATGAATTCAGACCATAGCAACTGGGATCCAAGAGACTAGGCTCAATTATTTTCTTTTTATTATGATGATATATAGAGGTGAAAAATTACAAGTCCAATCAGTAATCTGTTCTAGGCATTGCTCTCCTAACCCTTTGGCATTTTCTCCTGTCTTGTATCTCAGAAAAGATCCCTTTGCATTATATAGGTCTAGTCATCCTCATATCCCTGTCCAACATTGCCCCCTTCCTGGTCGCCTGTAGATGTGCTGGGACTGTACCAGTAAAATGTCAGATCACCAGAGGAACATTAGAATCTGGTTCAACCATCAAAAGGAAAGTAGAAATGGAAGTAATGGTAGCAATGCCACAAGAAAGGATAGCTTTGCATTGAGCAGATGAACCACTGATTCCTGGACACTGGAAAGGTTTGCATGTATCTCACAACACTGGCAGCTGACTTGTCTCCTGACATACAAACTGCTTTTCTCACTAGCCAGGAAAGCCACTAAGGAAATGGAAACTTGAAGTTGGGAGATTGGGAAAGAGAGCAATTATCTTTTTTATTTTTATTTTTATCTTGAATACTCAGTTCTTGAGAGTGGAAAGAAGAGTAATGCCAGGAGGAGAAAGAATGATGTACCAAAGGAAGTGGGAATATAGCTACAGACTTCTTGGTAAAAGTTGTCAGTTGCTTTGAAAGCCAAAAGAAAATTCTTTAACAAAGTTATTCCTACTAAGATATCAGTGACAATGCATAGTCTCTCTGAAGACTTGTGATCAAAAAACCTGATTCCAAAAATAGTCAAGCATGTGACCCAAAGAAATGATTCCCTAATGGTGACATTGTAGGCATTTAGGTAACAGTGTTTTTCATGAACATTTCAGAAATGGTAGTTCTGCCAACATATAAGACTAGACCTCCCTTGGGGAGAAGAAACTGCTTCTTTGCCACTGCTACATAATGTCCTTTCCCCATTCCATTTCATGATGCTTTGTGGAAATTTGACTTTAAACAAGGAATATGGGAAGACCAGAAGCCGTATAGCCTGGGTCATTTTTATTGGAGTCTCTGAGGGATTCTGGAGCAAGCTTTATTTTAGACTGATTTTTTTTTTGCCAGTTTTCATCCAGGAACACTGAATATGTTCCAAAGATAGTTGGTTAAAAGCCCAGCCACCTCAGAAAGTCTGGGAAGGGAGAGGGTAGAGACTGAGATGGTGTCCTTGTGTCTGTGGTTGGGAAATATGCAGTGTTGGCCCTTGAAAGATGAAAGGGATAGATTTGAGTCTCATATTCCATTCTTAGAAAAAACTGAGCCCCAAAGAGATGAAGTGGCTTGTGTAAGATTATGGGGAGATGGTGGCTGAATTAGCATCGTGATTTAGTGGCTTTATCCCAAAGTTTTCACACCCTTTCTGTGAGAACAACATCAGTTTAAAGGCAGAAAAATTGTGTTTCTGAGATTACTGTCAGCAGCTCTCTGACATGGGTTAATACTTTTGTGGAGTATTATAGCTCCATTTTCATAATCTTCCCCGTACAATATTAAGGATTTAGAATGAGATGTTCCAAAGATAATTTTATTGCATGCAACTAGTTGTAAGTTTGACCATACTTGCTTTTTATTTCTTTGATTCTCATGTCTTCTTGTCATCTGTTGCTTTCTTCCCCTCTTCTGTTGAGTAATTTAGAGATCATTGCCAGGTTACTGAGAAGACTGCTTCAAGGAAGACTCAAGGTTAGGCTTCCAGTGGAAAACCTTAACCTGAAATTGTCTTGTCAGTGATCCCTTAGTAGAAGGACTAGTTCAAAAAATCAATTCACAAAAAGTAAAAAAAAAATCAATTCACATATTTTGAGGCTAAATAACTCTGCATATTTTTTTGCATTCCAAAGATCTGCCAGCTTCTGTAGGAGCCATGACAAATATTATTTTGTAGGGCATTGTATTTTTCTTTTACCACAAAACGCTTACATTTGGAATAATTAGAGCCTAGGAGGCAAATGACTCTCTTCTATCCATTCTCTGATGAGTTTTACTCATTTCTGCCAGCTGCAGCTGTTTAGTTGTATGTATTCATGGGCAGGAACAGGAACCACTAGCCCAGACAGACTATCAATTGATTTGGGTTAAACTTTTTTTTGGAGTGAAAACTCTCTTCTTTTTAAGGAAAAGTTAAAGATCTTTTAAAACATGCTATAAAGCCTGATTCATAAGTATTTAATATTCAAAGAGTCATTTATACAGAAACTAAAGTTAGAACAACTTATTTACTAAAGTATAGAATTAAGTGGTTACTCAAATAATTGAAGCTGAAGAAGTGTGTTGTCCATATTCTGAATATTTTAGGTCACAATATTCCTTGTCCACAGCACAATCCTCATGTTTCATTGGTTTGTTTACTGGTTTTAAATTCAATAATCCCTTCATTGTTACAAGTTTGAAGGTACTGGTTTTCTTTTTGATTGTGGCTAATAGAGAAGATCTTCAAATCAGTCAGGGATCAATCCATATCCTGGTGTTGCCCCTTACAAGTTATGTGACTTTGGACAAGTTGATTGTTTTGTTAAGCTTTAGTTGCATCATTTGCAAAATAGACATAGTAATGTCTACATCTGAACATTATTAGTAAAAGCCAGTGAAAATAATGTGTATAAAAGCAGTGCTATTATTTATGGCATATAAAGGTTAATAAATATTTACTATTATTATTATTATGCATATAGTAACTTTTTATCATTTTCACTATATTCTGAGAATGATTTCATTCCATTTTAAACACTTTTGAGGTATTATTTATCCAAATAAAATGGGCTCTTATTCATTATAGTTTCAACTGATAGAAGGGGTGATCTAATTCTCTAAACTTTTCCCCCATGAAGCACTAAACTCCAGTAATTTCTTTTACTAGACTGTAGCACTCACTTTCCAAACTCTGCTTGTATCTAGTGCTAATTCATGCATCAATAATTAGTTTAATCTTAGAAAATGTTCATATATATATATATATATATATATATATACATATGTATGGCATATACTTAAGGAAATCCAGTGAAAATATTTTTAGACATAATTTAAGTTGGAATCAACTCACTAAGTGCATTGATTTTTTTGCTAAATGGCAACCCTATACTGTACTTCAGGGAGTAAAGAGATATTTAATTTTCCCAGTTCTCAAGAAGTTATACATACACGTGCATATACAAGTTAACAGGCGAAATTTAGAGTCAGGAGACCAGATTTCAATTTCCTTTTTCACCATTTGCTAACTTTGGGAACTAGGATAAATAATTCAATCTCAGTGACTTATTTCCCCCAAATGAAAAATCAAGGTAAGAATACCTTATTTGATGTGTACAATTGTTATGAGATTCCCTTGTAATAGCAAATATGAAGACTATTTGGAAATGATTTGATAGGTACTATAATTCACAAATATGAATTTCAATTATATTTAAATGCCAAATTGTGTGCTCCAGACATCAGGTGCTCTCAGAGATCCAGATCAATGGCTAAATTATTAGGGAACACTGTAATGAGCTAAATCTCAGACAGGACTTGTGTAGATAAAAAGGAGTTGAGAGGAGCAGTCATACAGGATTAACCAAGAGGAAAATTTCAGAAATTTGGCTGGGTTTGTTCACATCTGTAATCTATAAGTTCAAGGTCAGTTTGGGCTGCATATTAATCCCTGCCTCAAAACAAAACAAAACCATACTATACCACATCATACCACAAAATAGCAAACCTACAGAGACTGAAACTAGCGTAGAAGCGTATGACAAATTACATAAAACTTTAGATAGCATAAAGTTTCTAAGACAGTTCCTCTCCCCAAGGGGAACTAAGAAAGTTTAAATGGAAAGTACCATAGACTTCCTCCTGTTAAGCAAGTTAGTACCTTGTAATCAAAGAAGAATTGAAGAAGCTGATTAGCTTCTTCAAGGCTCAGGCCTTGTCCTTGCTCTTTGGTCTTCCCTAAAGCTTATTATGCTGCCTGGCACATAGTAGGTGCTCAATAAATATTCAACAAATGAAAAAATGGATGGATGGTGATGGCCACTACTGTTTTTGTCTGGTTACTTTAGTGCTATCTGAATTCTTTAGCCACTGGAGCAAGAATTGGCTTTTTAACTTCCTCTATGTGGTACAGCCCCATCTGCTGTTGGGATTTATGAAATTCTTTGCAATTATGTTAGTACTGTGTTTATTTTTTCCCCTCCATCCTATTCCAGAAGACTCCTTACCTGCAGTGAACAATAAAATGACCAGCAAGTCCTGTGAGTACAACGGGACCACTTACCAACATGGAGAGCTATTTGTGGCTGAAGGGCTCTTTCAGAACCGGCAACCCAATCAGTGCACCCAATGCAGCTGCTCGGTAAGACCCTGCATCTCAGTGCTCCTACTTGTCCCTACCAAACTGAGAAGATTTCCTCTGCACTTGTGTTTTTCTTTGAGCTTACACTATAAGGTGTTTGAAGGAAAGATGAATCATATTTAATTCATAAGTGTTCCTGCCAATCAAAACTTCCTGATTTTCTTCAGTGCTTACCAATTCTCCTGAAGAGCTCAGACTTACTTGCACTCCAGTTTTAAAACTGGAGCAAAATCTGCTTAAGTGGGCAAAATTAAGTTGTTTCATGTGGTTTGCACTCCTTATAATTGTAATTACATCACCTAAGCCTTCATCCAAAGTCTTTCAATCATTTGAAGCCTTGGAAATGCTATGGTGGAAAAGTCACTGTAAAATTCTACCCTACTGTATCCAATTCATCAGAAAATGGAGTGTCTCTTGGTTACCATCTCTGAAGCATTCTGCTAACCATTTAATTCCTGGTATGAGATGAGAAATTTCATGTTTGATCACTGTGATTCCCATGCTTTTACTTGTCAAAAGATCTTCATATACTTCAGAAATAAACCATAACAATTATGTCATTACCTAATTGTGCAGTTCAGAGGGGTTAACAGATATAACTAAAAAGTGGAGTAAGATGCCTATTTAAAATGAAGCACAAAGGTATAAAGTTAGATCCTGAAACAACTTTAAAGGTTGACAAGAAAAGTTGAAGAATTTCTTTCCTTGGAAAATTGGCAAAAACAGGGGCTGGGGATTTAGCTCAGTGGCATAAGCCCCTGCTTTGTAAGCAGGTGGTTGTGAGTTCGATCCCCAGTACCGATTTAAAAAAAAATTGGCAAAAACTATCTCATTATTTTGTACCTCTCTTGGTAGTTCAGTAATTTAGGAAAAATACTTGTTGGGTTGCTTTCCTAGTGACTTTGCAGGAAACCTTCTAACCCTAGAAGAATATACTTCTAGGAACTAACAAGAATGTTTAAAAATGTATAAGAGAGAAAACAATTGTAACCAGCAAATTGAATTATCTCCCCTGCCCTGTGCTGGATGAAGCTATTGGATTCAGATTATCTTGTATAATTTTGTATTATTCCAAAGAAAGCCCACCTCTTTGGTTTGGAAAAGGAAACACATGAGTAGCAACAAATGGTAGCACAAAGATCTTCATTCCCTAATACCTCCAACATTCAGCTGGGGTCTGTTGAGGAGCCAGAGCTGCAGTAAACAAAGAACAGAAGAGCCAAATTATTTGGTGAATTGGAGGCCCACGGCAGCCCTCACAGCGTATTTTTCTATCACCTTGGACCAGGATACCTGACCAGAATTGAGATCTCTCTGGGACTTAATTTCTGCAATTGGAAGTAGTATGTAGGAAAAATAATACATAAGAGAAAGTAGGAAGTGCCTAGGACAGAGTATGAGAGAGCAGTGCCATATTCCAAGCCCCTTTTCTATCATAGATATTGAGCTTAACCTGGGACTTAACTTAGATCATGTTGATCTCAATTGTGTTTCTCTTTGGCAGGAAGGGAATGTATATTGCGGTCTCAAGACTTGCCCCAAATTAACCTGTGCATTTCCAGTCTCTGTTCCAGATTCCTGCTGCCGAGTATGCAGAGGTAGGTTTTCCATATCGCAACACACTGGATGCTGCCATTCTGAGTGGCAGAACTTAAGAAAGAGGAAAATATATGTTTAGCCTCTGTAGAAAAGGCAATTTTGCATGATAGCCTTGGCTTATAGAAGTTTTTTCATTCCCTAAAAGAAAAAATAGAAGAATTGATTTTTAAGGGCCAGAGCCCAAAAGAAACAGAGATGGAGTGTGGTGGAAAAAGTCAGTGGAAGTTACTGGTATGAAAGTGATCATCTGTCCTTCCTTAATCCTTTGTAACTTGGCCCCTAAATTATTGGATCATTAAATAGAAATCATTCCTTTAGATGCATGGTTTTTAAAGGAAGAAGGGACCTTGTACAGTATTAATATGACAATATTAAAGACTGAGCCAGGTAAAGTTAGGTATTTCTAAAAATCACAAGAAAATGATGAAAACAAAATAATAACAAACCGAGAGGCATCATTTTCTCAAGTTATCCTAATAGAATCATCATAGTCTCAATTGAATCTTTCTTTCTTTGTTTCTTTCTTTCTTTGTTTCTTTCTTTCCTCTTTCTTTCTTTCTTTCTTTCTTTCTTTCTTTCTTTCTTTCTTTCTTTTCTTTCTTTCTTTCTTTCATTGTACCGGGAACTGAACTCACAACCTCATGCTTGCTGAGCTATATATCTCCAGCCCTCAGTCTTCTTCTTTAGATTCTAATATATATATATATATATATATATATATATATATATATATATGCACCATTTTTTCCTTCTAGGTTACTGGGATCAGACCTAAACATCTTTGTCTTTTTTTCATCTTCTTAGATTATCAATTTTCTCAATTAGCAATTTTCTCTAGCCCTCCCTTTCTCCACCTTCTCACTAGCAACATCTTAATATTACCTTATTTTTATACTCAATCAGTATATACATAGAATATATACAGTATGCTCAACACTGTGCTAGAAGCTTATTTTGCATTGGTAAATATAGTAAATGTATAGGACACTACTAGACCACATGATATCTTTATGTGAATCACAAAAAGGTATTCTTTTTTTTTTTTTTTTTTTTTTTGTCTTTTTCCTTTTTATCAGTACCGGGGATCAAACTCACGACTGCCTGCTTGCAAGGCCGGCGCTTATGCCACTGAGCTAAATCCCCAACCCCTACAAAAAGATACTCTTTAAGAAACCTTACTGCTTTTGTCAGAAAATCCTTGTTAACTTATAGTAATGCCTCAGTTCATGAATACTTCTGTTTGCAAACAATTCAGTTCACAAACAAAAGCATTCAGCAAAGTTTCGCTTCTGTACCCAAACTCCACATCAGGTATAAAAAACCAGAGCCATCTTGTCCACACAAACCAAATCCTGCAGTGCACAACCATATATTGCACACTGTACAACAAAAATATATTTTTTGTTCTTATAGAGCTCACAGTCTATCAGAGAAGACAAATAATAAACAAAAGTCCAATAAATATCTAAATATATGTTGTAAGTACCATAAAGGAAATAAACAAAGGGCTGAAATAGAAAATAAGAGTTTTATTTAAATTTGAGTGATCAAGAAGGCCCCTGAGGAGATAACTTTTGAGCCCACATCTGAAGGATAAAAAGGACCCATCCATACAAAGACCCTGGCACATGACCATAATGTCAGCACTCAGGAGGCTGAGGCAGAAGGATTGCCACTAGTTTAATGCCAGCCTGGTCTACATAGTAAGTTCAAGGCGAGTCTGGGCTACATACCAAGACCCTATATCAAAAAGAAAGAAGAAAAAAGAGAAGGAGAAGGAGAAGAAAAGAAAGAGAAAGAAAGAAAGAAAGAAAGAAAGAAAGAAAAAGAGAGAGAGAGAAAGAGAAAGAAAGAAAGAAAGAAAGAAAGAAAGAAAGAAAGAAAGAAAGAAAGAAAGAAAGAAAAAGAAAGAACCTAAGAATCATTCTGGGCAGAAAGAAAACAGAAAAGCCTCAGGCAGGGAACAGCTTAGAAGACCAATGTGATTGGAATATGGTGATTATGTTTGAAATTGGAAGGACTGAGCCTGGGGAGATGAGTAGGTGTTAGACAGTTCAGAGCTTTGAAAACCATTGGAAGGAATTTTGGGTATCATTTTTAGTGCATTGGGAAACCAGTGGAAATTTATGAGCAAGAACACCATAGAAAGTCAGATGGAATGTGATGCATCCCTGTATTGCCATCTCCTCTGGAGTCTAAGACATAGGAATCATGAGTGCAAGGACAACCTGGGCAATTTAATTAGACTCTGTCACAAAATAAAATTTTAAAATGGACTGGTAAGATAATTCTGTGGTAGAATGCTTGCTTCACATGCATGAGCTCCTTGGCTCAGTCTCCACACTGGAACAAAAGACATGATACAATCCAATTGACATACTGAGAGATCTCTCAGGCTGTTGTTTCCACATAAAAATGGATAAAGGCAGTGATGTAAATGGAAAGACCAGGAAAAAGGTTAGCTTCCTTCTACCTGGATGACCTGACTCAACTCACAGTCTTTAAAGTGACAATATTAGCATTTACCTTCAAGATGATTGTAAGATTTGAGTGAAGTAATGCAAAAAGGGCATAGGATGGTATCTTGCATATAGTGAGGAGTCAATAATAAAACGTGGACATATATATATATATATATATATCTGTCAGTGCTGGGTGAATATTGGAATTGTCTTCCTCGATTTCTACCCAGAACAGGAGAAGAAAGTAACTCCAGGGCTGGGCATTTAGCTCAGCTGCATAAGTGCCTGTCTGGCAAGTGTAGGGTTGTGAGTTCAATTCCCAGTAAAGAAAGAAAGAAAGAAAACAAGCAAGAAAGAAACTCCAGTGTGCAGCCAAGCTAGAGAACCACTAAGTTACAAGGAAAATATAGTACTTTTTGCACAGAGAACATTTTGAAGATTACTTTGCATACTGCCATTTGAATCTTCCAGAAAGACAGCCTTAACTTTACTACATCCCTGTTAACAAGTCTGTGCTGACACATATCATACTTACTACATACCAGTTCCTAATTCTGAACACTTCACATATATGAACTCATTTAACTTCATCACAATCTTGTGAAGTAAGTACTTATAGTATCCCAACAAAGATGAGGAAACTAATGCAGACAGAGGTTAAGAACCTCATCTACACTAAGTTTAGATACTGTGATTTCAATCCTATCAGCCTGGCTCCAGACTCCAGGCTTTAACTATGGCATTGTGCCACTGAAATGTATGGTTCTTGTAGCGACTGGAAAACATGTCAACCCCCTGGCACTGACAGTAAAGACAACTCATGGTCTTGCCTCATTTAATCTCTACAGTGTGCCATTTTTCCATTGGTGCAATTCAGGTTTCTGTCCCATAGTTTCTGTATTCTCTCTTATCTTTATACTTCTCTCTCTTGCTCAGTGTTTAAGTGCTTCAGTATCTTCTAAAGAATTTTTTTTTAAATTCAATTCCCTGGCCCACTCTTGCAGATGTCTAATCAGTAGTCTTGGAGTGGGACCCAAGAATTGGCATTTAAAAAGATCATATCACTCATTTTTTTGCAGAATTTTCAAAATGGACCACCAATTTGAAAAAACATTCCAAAGATCATGTAGCTCACTGATTATAATCTGGAATGATGGTTTTATATCCAAGTTTTGCATACCAAAACTCATTCTATTGAAGTTCTGAAATCTGAATAAACTAATAGGAAAGTAGTAAATTTCAATCTCTGACTGGTCAAGCTGTCTAATCTCAATCTTATGGTTACCAAGTTAGGTAAATGAGTGATAGCCATTTTATGATAAGAAACTGGGAGGAAAGGAGATAAAATGGCTCCCTCTATGCACATTCATAGTAAAGGTTACAAGGGAATAATAATGCTTTTTACTAGAAAACTCTTTCTCTCCATTCTTTCTTATGAAAACTTTGCTAATACTTCAGACCTACTTCCAGTGTAGGTGTCTTAGATTCTAATACAAGAGCCTTGGTTACTTTTCTCTCGTTGAGGTACAAAAACACGACACCCAAAATGAAGGAAGGAAAGGTTTCTTTAGCTCACTGTTTGTAGAGGTTTCAGTCCATAGTCATCTGGCTCCAAGGCAGGGTGGCATGGCACTGAGACAACACTTCAAGGCATCAGCCAGAGCAAAAGAGGGGAATAAACTTCTCCTCCTCCTTTATATTGTACATAGGCTACAACCCCTCTAGGGTGGGCGTAGCACTCAGAAAATCTCTGTGCCCTCCTCTTGCATAGGATGAGGCTATTTACAAAGTAAGAATCCTGGCTCCCTGCTGAGTTAAACTTCTAAACTTCTCAAGATGACACAATCTATCAATCATAACAAGTCACCCACAGGATGTATTTTGATAAATAAAATCTGAAAGGTCTTCTCTGCATTCCCACTTCCTTTTTTAATTTCTGTACTACTAAATCTTGCTTATCATTCAAAGATAAGGTTAAAATGCCACCTGCTCCATGAAATAATTTTAATTCTGCGAACCAGGGGCAAACCTGCCTTCTCTCTGTGTCTTTGCAGTGTGTAACCTGTGATTCTCTTAGTAGCATTGCTGTCCTTGTCTTTTATTATCTGTATTCATATCTTAACATTAAGAGTGTTATAAACTTGTTAAAAGAGGAACACTTTCTGGATCGTTTTTATTTCCCCCACTGTGCTAGGCATAGAGTAAATGGTTTGTATGTTAGAAAGATTACTAGAGAGTTAGCCATGGCTTGAATTCACTACTACAATAATAAAATAGGGTATGATTGTTTTGTTTTTCCTCCTGAGTTACTAACTCTTTTAGGACTCCGTATTTTTGTTGCTGTAACAAAATACCGAAGGCTAGGTAATTTGTAAAGAATACATGTTTCTTTAGCTCACATCTTTGGAGGCTGAAAGTCTGAATAGCGTGGTACCTGTTCTGATGAGGACCCCACAAGCTGCATCATCTCATGGTGATTGCATCCTGCCATGAGCACACATAAAAGGATGGGGCTACCTCTTAGCTTGAAAAGAGCC